TGCAAGCCTCCTAACTGCTCCCCTCAAAGCAGCAGTGCTGTTCAGAGTGTGAGAGCAACACCTCTGCTATCCTCCGATGTCATGAAAAAGCACAAGGCTGCCGTTATGGCAGTGCTGCATTCAATAGCGATTCCTCCTGTGACCTAAAATATGTTGTAGCTTTTTTTATATATAATGGTTGTATAAAGCTTTCCTCCAATAAAACAGTAACTTTAAAGCACTCCCACATAGAGAAACAGGTCATAAAAGATCACTTTAATGGCAAAACGACTGGCCTGAAACACATTAGTTCTTTATAGCAGATACTTCCACCTTCTTTAAAGTTTAAGAACACCCTAAGGTTTGGAAAGCTGAAACTCTGACTACACCAGTTTGTTCTGGTGACAAACTGAGGTCATAGGCATGTTAATTAATTCAATCTTTAACTAAACTAAGCTGTGCAACTTCAACAAAACCTTCTTTTTTCTTATTGCTGGCTGTTGGACTCATTTTTTTTTTCTTATATTTTTATGGTCTAAGAATCCTTTCTGGTCTTGCAGCTCTTCTGGTTCGCCAAGTTGATGGTTGTGCCTGTGGACTTATTATTACACAAGAAAAGTAAATATGCTGCATCACATGCTTCTGGTCATCTGTTACCTTAAAGACCACCTTTCCAATTATGCACTTTATCTTTCAAAATGCAAGCTATCAGTTCTCCGGTATGCCTGGCTAAGGTACTGCCTTGTACTTTAGCTGCTTTCTTGATTTGAGTTTTACTAAACTGAGTCAATGGCAGAAGGAGTGGGATAAAAGAATTTGATTTCCTGAATAGAGATCAAGATCCTGTGGACAAAATGTACATTCTAGTACTTTCCAGAACCATCAAGATTAAGAGGAGGGGGGGTGTTTTTTGCTTTTTTAGATCCCCAATAATTAAACTAACATTGAGAGAGCAAAGGCTGTTTAAAGCATGAATCGAAATACATTTCAATTATACTATTGTCACGGCATTGGGTCCTAGTGCCCCAGTGTTTTTTGGTTAACTTGTATTCTTTGAATTACTGTTTTTTGTTTGTATTGCACTTGTAGTTCCTGGTTTCTGGTTTTTCTGTTCTATTTCTGTGCCTCCCTTGTCTCTGTGCTTCATGTTTCCTCTGTTCCCGAGTCCATTTCCACATCTCAGTGTCTAGTCTGCGTCTTTATGAACGTCATGCTTCCTGTTTTATTTTGATAGTCCCTGTCCTGCGTGCAGTGTATCTAGTTTTGCTTCCCCTTCTCATTTGTCCCAGCTGGATATCCCCCATCCTTGTGTTGTCCTGCTTGTATATTTAAGCCCTGTGTTTGTCTCTGTCTGTTGTTGGGTCCTGTTCCTGGTTTGTTTTCTTGTTTTCTAGTCTGAGTTTCTAGTTTCCAGTTTAGTTTGCTGTATTTGTCATTTTCTCAGCAAGTAAAGCTTCTGCTTTGAGTTTACCTTTCTGTTTGAGAGTCCTCCTCCTGCCTGCCACACAACACAGTCATAAAAACTATGGTGTTCTATGAATGTAGAAAGTGTTTTTTCACCTTTTAGCTTTTTGAGGTTTAATGTAACTGGAGGTGGTCTTCCTCTAGAACTACAGGGATATATTGCAGTAGTCACCTCCAGCCTCTACTTTACCTCACCTTGTTATGTAACCCACAGAGACACAGAGAGGGAAAATATCAAGCAGTAGAGGTCACTTGAGTGTTATGAGCATTAGCAGCTGGGCTGTTTAGACCTGCCGGCTAGGTGTTATTTACATTCAGTGGGTCTGGCTGACCTACTTAAACAGCAAAGTGGGGCAATCTGATGGAGATGGACGACATGCAACAGACTACAGGCAATAATCTGATCTAGGCCCTTTGACAATCACGTATATGACAAATGTTATGTAGTAATGTAAATAATCCTAACAGAAAATAATAAAAATGGTCAGTTACACAATATGCAAATGAGGAACCCGTGAAAGGAGACATGACGCTGCATTGCACTTTGTACACTGGGAAAGCAGGAAAGTGATATACATTCTGTTAATTATTATAAATAATTGTTTAAATCTCTTCTTCCCTTCTTTCTATTCAGAAATGGAAGAAATATAAAATGCCCTGTAGTTCCATGGACAATGAGAAAGGTGGTGGATCATCCCTAAAAAGCACACGTACAGGCCTGTCTTAACTTTGCCGACATCTAAATGACTCAGAAAAGACTGAAGAAATTTCTTTGGTTAGATGAAACTAAAATCAGACAAAACCTTCTTATACAGTAACTGAGCTGTGGCTACATTTCACTTTCACATCAACTGTTTTACAACATTTTTGTTAAAGTAAATGAAAAGATGTGACTTGATAAACGACGATGCTTAAAGGGTTAGGGTTAGAGAAAGGGTTAGTGATAATGGTGGTGTGTTAAAGAAAGCACTAATTAAGACATTTAAATAGTGCTTTAAGTCTGGTAGTATTTGGAAGCAAGCATCAACTACCAATATTTATTAAATGCTTTGCATAAAGAACGAAATGGTTTATGCCATCAAGGGAACAAAACAGTTTAAAGTCTATACA